GGCTATTTGTGTTATTGATCATAAAAGTTGTTTTCATTCTCATATTGTATTAATATTGAATTTTAATAAAGAATATGTATCATACACCATCTCTCTTATTCATCATCTGCCTCTACCCTCTCTCTTTCCCCAGTGCTTCCTCTTTTTTTTTTCTTTTTTTTTCTCTTTATGTATCTCCCTTACAGTCAAGTGCGAAACTTGAGTTTTTTGTTTTTCAGAAATATTCTAAGTGTCAAGGTCGAAATGCGACACCTGAATTTAATATTTTGAACTAATATTTGATAATTATGAAAAACTATACATTCGATTTTTTGTGCCTCTTCTGGAATCAAACCGAGACACGCTGAGCAACCGTAGTGGTCACTTAACGATCTCGGCCAATTGGTTTTAAAAAATCGTAGTCTTTTGTAAAAATATAAAGTGTTATTTCCAAACTGAAAGATATAAGTTTCCTAAAAATGTTCTGTGTCAAATGTGCAAATGGCCGAGGTCGTAAAGATACGGTTTAGGCCAGAATAGCAATTCGAGGATCGACAGATCGAACCCCATTTATCTGAAAAAAATTTATATTCAATAATTTTTCTAACTCTGTAAATAAATAAGACATATAGATAAATAATTAAATTTATTGAGTGTCAGCATTACAAAAATCGACATAATATATATGTGCATATATATAAATATAAATGTATATATATATATATATATATATATACGCATGTATATGTATATATATATATATATATATATATATATATATATATATATATATAAAGATAAGAAATAGTAGGAGGAGGATAATTTTGAATAAACTCATATTCACGCCTGGTTAGCAGTAAACCAAACCTACTTTGGTGTAATTTAAAAATCTTATTTTTTTTCGTTAAAAAGACAGTCTATCAGGGGCAGCCAAAATTGGCCAAAATCGTGATTTTCAAATGCAATTTTGAGGCCCTTAATGAATGAAAGTAATAATTTTAATTAATGCTTTGTGTAGACTAAAGTACAATCTTTATACCAAACCAAAAAAATTACAAATTTATCATCGTCTTCATAGTTAAAATCAGCTTCAAAGTTGGCGATTTTTCAAACTTCAAATTGGTACCAAGGGCAGAAGAATTTTTTTTTCCAAAAACTGATTTCATATTCAAAATCAGCGCCTCGAAAACTATCAGAATCGGTCAAAATATTTTGAAAATCGCGAAAAAAAGTTTTCATTTCATTAGTAAAATTTTGATTTTGCAACCAAAGATTTTGATTTTTCGGGGTTGTATATGGATTTATCCAAAAACGGATAATATTTTCGAAATCAGCGTCCCAAAATCAATCGAAACCAATCAAAACATTTTGAAAATCGCGAAGAAAGCCGATTTTTTTAAAGAAAAATCGATTTGGCAACCAAAGATTTCGATTTTTCGCGGGGTATGTGTAGATTTATCCAAAAACAGATAGCATTTTTGAAATCAGCGTCCAAAATCCATTAAAATCAGTCAAAACATTTTAAAAATCGCAAGAACAAATCGATTTTTTAACAAAATTCGTTGTTTTGCAGTGATACGACAACCCTGAAAGCTCACCAATTGTGATAATTCCGTCCTTTCGTTAAAAAGACTTTGTCCAATGAGTTCTTGATCACAGGGGACTTGACTATAGGAAAAAAACAGGATTTAATGTTCTTTGTAATACATCCTTATAAGTTATAAGCACCTGCAATGAGAACAAAAATGTATTCTATAAATATACATTTAAATTAAGATTATATAGTTATATATAATAATAATAAAACTAGATGTTTATCGCAGAAAGTACTCCGAAACAACTCCAATTTTGTACAATTGTGTTTAATATTATTCAAAATCAGAAACATTTCAGGCAACAAAATTTAAACATTTTAAACTTTTACGGCAAATCGGTAAATAAAGTTTACGTAAAAAAAAATCATTATTCTGGTATTACAGTAGTAGTAAACAACAAAATATTTTAAAAATCGCGAAAAAAAATGTTTATTTCATTAGTAAAATTTTGATTTTGCAACCAAAAATTTTCATTTTTTGCAGAGGTATGCAAATTTATCTAAAAACGAATAACATTTTCAAATTCATCGACTCCAAGTCTATCAAAACCAATCAAAACATTTCGAAAATCGCGAAAAAACTCGATTTAAAAAAAAAACGACTTTGCAACCAAAGATTTCGATTTTTCGCGGGGTGTATGTGGATTTATCCAAAAACGGATAGCATTTTTGAAATCGGCGTTTTAAAATCATTTAGAATCAGTCAAAATATTTCAAAAATTGCAAAAATAAATCAATTTTTTTGATAAAATTCCGATGTTGCAACCAAAGATTTCGTTGTTTTGCAATGGTACCCTGAAAAGTCATCAAACAGGATAATTTCGTCCTTTTCATCAAAAAGACTTTGTCCAATTAGTTGTTGAGGTTGTAAAGTTTATCTTGAGGCATTCTTATAAGTCATACCACCTGTGATAAAAATAAAAATTTATTTCAAGGCCATACATCTAAAATAGTATTAAATGTTTCTTAATACTAGTCTAGTAACATTAAATATGTGTAAGTGCAGCCGAATAATAGATCATTTATACTAATCTAATAACTTGAGTCCATAAATAGTAGTTTAAAAAAATCGTGAATAGCAGTCTATGGTTTTAATATGGTTTATGATTTATAAATCTAAATTTTATCTTTTTTTCACTAATATGAATAAATTAAAATGCCTAGAACAAAATTTTAATGTTGTTTGACAAAATATAAAAAAACGTCCAAAATCCACCTATAGCCAATTATTAAACTCAATTTTTATCTAGTCTAGTTTTTACTAATGTAAATAAATTTAAGTGCACGGAACAAAACTTCCAAGATATTCAACTAAATGTAGAAAAATGTCTCAAATCTACATATTGCTAATTATCAAACCTCGAATCTGCGATCCAACTAACTGGGTCGCAGGTTCGAACTGCAATGGCTATCAAAATTTTGAACAATTTTATACTAAATTCTAGCAAATTTAATCTAGTTTATGTGTCCGAAATAAAATTTTCAAAATATTTGACATAATGTGAAAAATGTCCTACAACCAAATATTGAAAATTAGAAAAATATTAAAGTCTGCGTTTCTACTAGTTTCATTGTAAACTTTAATATCCAAGTGCATATTACAATTTATATTAAATTTGAGTAAATTGTAACTAGTTTAGACTGATATAAAAAATTCTGAATGTCTAGAACAAAATTTCCAAGTTATTTGACAAAATGTAAAAAAATGTTCTAACTCCACATATTCATACTTATCCGCATTTCAACCACAAATTATTCAAAATTTTGATATACAAGTGTATAGAACAATGTAAAGTAAATTCTAACTAGTGGTGTGTGGCATCGAGCCTTAAGGCAAATTGCTGGAACTTCCCGTACCGTAACGAAATGTTCGAGGAGTATTAAATGTTTTCAAATAGATTATTTTAAATACTGTAACATTGTATAATATTTATAAGAATTGTATAAACTGAATCACAAAGTCAGTTTTTTTCAAAAGCAATTGTTTTGTCAACACAAGCGGAAAGTTTTTTAAATCATTCAATTCGGATGCTTATTTCTCTCAAAAACGCCATTGTTTGTATATTTAACACTGTATCTTCGAAATGGCTGGGCCTGCCTTTGCCAAAAACTAATAGCCATTTTTCCCAATCATTACTAATTGAATTTTTAGATCATTCAAATCGGATGCTCCGTTCTCTCAAAATCTCGATTCTATTTTCTGCACTCTTTGCTCTTTATCTCCGTATCGTCTGGACCTACCTTTGAAAAAAACTAATCAGCACATCTCTTTATTAATTGGAATCAAATGTTTTTTGAACCGTTCAAATCAGTTGATCCGTACGCCCGAAATCGTCGACAAAAAATAGTCTCCCGTACATATATCCATTTTTTCTGAGGTACGCCAAAATGTTCAGAAACGTCTGAAACGTGAAGATATGCAAAAATGTTCATTATCGATTTTTAACCCATTACTATAGTTTACCCTACGGGAAGTTAATAATAAAAATTACAAATACAAATAACATTATACGAGGCACCCTTGTCTAACTAAGATATGAAAATAATATAAAAATAAAACAAATGCCTCAAGGCCAATTGCTGGAACTTTCCGAACCGTAACGAAATGTTCGAAGAATATTAAATGCTTTCAAATAGACTATTATAATAAATACTGTAACATATAATGTAACAATATTTATAAGAATTATATAAACTGAATTGCAAAGTTGAAATTATTTGTTTAAAGTATATTAGAACTTTAGTCAGAATCAAAATTAAAATCTGAATTATTTTTTTGCAAAAGCAATTATTTTGTTAAGACAAGCAGAAAGTTCTTTGAATCATTCAAATCGGACGCTTAGTTCTCTCAAAAACTGCAACTTTTTGCACATTTAGCTCTCTATCTTCGAAATGGCTGGACCTGCCTTTGCCAATAACTAATCACCTCTTCTCTCAATCATTACAAATTGAATGTTTTTTAGATCATTTAAATCGGATACTCCGTTCTCTCAAAAATGCGATTTGTATTTTCTGCACTCTTTGCTCCGTATCTCCGTAAACGGCTGGACCTGCCTTTGCCAAAAACTAATCAGCCCTTTTCCCTATCAATAGGAATCGAATGTTTTTTGAACCATTCAAATCGGTTGATCCGTGCGCCCGAAAACGTGGACGAAAATATGCGGACACACAAAACACACGCACACACACATCGATTTTTTTTGAGGTATGCCAAAATGTTCAGAAACCTTCAAAACGTGAAGATATGCGAAATTTTTCATTTTCGAAGTTAAAAATAATTTTTTGATTAATGTTTTAAAAAATACTAAATATAATTACTCCGACATCTATGATCTTTAACATTTAAAACACGTATATGTACTTCCGATGTTATCCCATCCAATGTTTTGACGTTTGTTTGACATTTATATGAGTAATAGTGTATGAACTCAACGAAAGTTTGTCATATGATTTTTTATAGATTTATATTCACATACAATGGCAAATAGAAATCCTACGACTTTAATGAGTGTCTCTAATGACGATTCATTTGATTTTTTGTTTAAAATCGTCCTCATAGGCGATTGTGGAACGGGCAAAACTTGTGTAGTTCAAAGGTTCAAATCAGGAAATTTTGTCGAAAGACATGGAAATACGATTGGAGTCGATTTTTCGATGAAAACAGTAACTGTTGACGGCAAGAAAGTTAAAGTACTAATAATTTATAACTTATTCATGTAAATTGAATCGAATGTAAGGTTATGTTTAATCCTAAAATTAGTTACAGATATGGGATACAGCTGGTCAAGAACGTTTCAGAACTATAACTCAGAGCTACTACAGATCAGCTAATGGAGTTATAATTGGTATTTTCTTAGTAAAAATATCTCTATTAATAGATTCAAGCATATCTCATGAAAATGAAGCCATTGTAAAACATAACAAAAGTTATTTTGTTGACTATCATATAAATATATTGAAGTTAAAACGAATCTTCAAACAATATTTTCAATATATATATTTTGATGAGTTATTTAGAATCGGGCAGTAACACCAAGTTAAAAAAACTGAAGTAGTTTTGAAATACTTTATTTATCCATACCCACAACACCTCATCCAATCCATAACAAAAAATAGAATCCTATATCTCCAAAACCGTCACAATAATTCAATTGAAAATCCAAACCTTGAAAACTATGTCGGAACTATAAGTAAACTTTTCAGTAAAAATAATATTAGAGTAGTTTGTAGTTCCATAAACACTCTTTCAACTCTTTTTACAAAATTAAAATCGAAATTTAACCCAAGAATCCTAAGTAATTTAGTTTATAAACTTAATTGCCTAGATTGTAATTGCGTCTACATAGGTGAAACCAGTCAAAACTTGTACAAAAGAACATCACAACATAAAAACAACTCTAAAAATAAAAACCAGAATAAAACACAACTAACATTAATCAGCTCAAACATAACATTGATTTTACCAATCCCATGATTCTACATTTCAAAAATAATTTATTTAAAAGAAGATTTAGCGAAGGATGCCTAATATCTTTACACAATGAGACGGCCATAAATATAAGAACTGACAACAATTCGCTTTGCAATGACTATAAAATAATCCTTGACCATTTTCAAAACACCACCATATCTGAATGATTGTGTATTTTATTATTTTATTATTTTACTAAAAACATATGTTTGCCAGTCTTTTTACACTTTCGCAAAATTTGTAAACAATTCATTCAGTATTTAGACGTTAGTTAGTCTGTACACACTAGAATGTAACCAAAAATTGTCAAAAAATAATTAGTTTAAATGTTCCAATTATTAATAGCTTGGTTTATCACAGTGTAATAGTGTAGTGTATTTTTGTATAATTAATTTTCTGTAAGTATTTATATATAAGTTCTATAACTTTATATTATTTTCCTCCTCCATCATATAAAATCTTTTAGTTTTTCCACTGAATGACGGTCTCGATGAAGACCGAAACGTATGGATAAATTAAGTATTTGAAAACTACTTTAGTTTTTTTTTACTTGGTGTTATATATATATAACATTTAATATATACCTATATATATATATATATATATATATATCTTGATATTGTTTGTTTCGACTTTGAAACATTATATGATACAGTTTTGCAGCCACAAGTCGAAAAATAAAACCAGAACGTAAATATAAATCTTTTTAATACGTTTCGAGCTATTCTGCTAGCTCATCAAAAACAGAGTAATAAAACAAAGTAACAAAATAAAATAAAACAGAATTAAAATTATACATACCAAACCAGTTTTGCAAGTTATTAAACATTCAAAAAATTATTTTATGTAAAATTTGACAAACATGAATATTTTGTTCTAAAAACAAAAAAATATGTATATATATATATAAAATTTTGAAAAATGAAATCAAGTAATCGAAATATATCGAATTCTGAAAGATAAAAGAAAATAAAAGAAAATATCAAGTGGTAAAAAATTGTTCAAATATTAAAATAAATCAGATTTACATATATTAATTAAATTTTGATAGCTGTCAAAAAGTAAGGAAGAAGAAGTTCTCTTATTAACACATTCAGAATTTAAAAAAATGAAAACAGATTCAGCAAACCTTCTCAGGTCAACATTTTGTTCAATATATAAAAACACACATTTGACCTAAACAATCCAGTTATTTTATATATTGAACAAAATGTTACTTTGTTTTATTACTCTGTTTGTTTTTTAGCTGAATGATGAGCTAGCAGAATAGCTCAAAACGTATTAAAAAGATTTATATTTACGTTCTGGTTTTATTTTTCGACTTGTGGCTGCAAAACTGTATCATATATATATATATATATATATATATATATATATATATAGGTATATATTAAATGTTAAATATTCAACACTTAGATTTTTAACACACAGTTTATTTAATAATTACATACGTTTCGAGAGCATGGTATGCCTCATCTCCAGTGTAATTTCAAAACAGTTAATTATATACATTACATTTAATTTTTGAAAATACAAAAAACATCAACTATCACTTACAGAGCTTGACACAATACTAAAACATGTGAATAGAACAGAAATATTGTAAACAAATCTTAAATATCGAGATGAAGGGACAAGATGGATATTATTATAATGTGAACAAATGAAGTGCGAGATCACATACTAAAATCAACAAATATGAAAACAGATTAATTTATTAGAATAAGATAAATGAAAAAAAATTATGAATTATTTATGATGTTTATCGATTCTTAAGATTTGTTTTAAATATTTCTGTATATATTCACATGTTTAGTACTGTGGCAAGCTTTGTAAGAGATAGTTGGTGTTTTTTGTGTTTCAAAAATTAAATGTAATTTAAATAAAGTATTAAATAATGTGTTAGTATATAATTAACTGTTTTGAAATTACACTGAAGATGAAGCATACCTTGGTCTCGAAACGTCTGTAATTATTAAATAATGTGTGTGTAAAAATCTGAGTGTTGTATTGTTCATATTTAACATTTAATATTTGTTCCACTCATATCACAAAATTCTATAATATATACACACATATATATATATATATATATATATATAATATATATATATATATATATATATATATATATATATATACATATATATATATATATATATATATATATATATTCAATGTTTTTCTCCATTTTAGTATATGATATTACCAAAAGATCGTCATTTTTAAGTATACAACGTTGGATGGAAGAAGTTCGCCGATATACAGCATCAAATGTGTTACTTGTTTTGGTAGGCAATAAAAGTGATTTATCAAGTATAAGAGAAGTAGAATTCTCAGAAGCTGAAGCACTTTGTGATTATGCTCCTGAAATTTTAGTAGTTATGGAAGCATCAGCTAAAGAAAATAGTAATATTGAAGACGCTTTTATGTGCTTGGCAACAGAGCTGAAAGTAAGAAATATTTTGTTTAACAAGTAATTGTATATACATATTATTTGATTTGTGTCTAATTTCTTTCTGAATTCATTCTTTACAGAGACGACATGATAACAGTAATCAAGCTGAAGAATCAAGTGGTGGAATAACATTAAGCGAAGGTAAGGCAATAATTTCAAAGTGTTCTTGTTAACAATTTTTATATTTAAATTCATATAACTTAATATTTATCAAAATTCACGTACATAAATCTTGCCAAAGCATTTGTATATATCTACATCCACCAAATTGACCTTCAAAGTCTATAATAAATTTATACTTATATGTTCATTTTTATATAATTGATAACAAGAAAACCTGGTTTGATAAATATTTTTAACCAATCATGATATTTAATAATAAATATACTCATATTAATGTAATTGTATGAAACAATGAAAACACAAAACTGATTCCCTAGATGAAATATTAACCGCATGTAGGAACAACTGCCCTAATATTAAAACATAAATTTCAATATAGATATATACCTTTATAGATAGGTATTATTAGAAATTTCATTGTATTTTAAATTTTATGGCAAAGACATGTTTTTGAATGTAGAACTTATGCTAATATTGTGATTATACAAATAGTTATTTCTATTGTTTATTTATTAGTTTGTAAGAAATTACATATGCACGTTTTTGTATGGAAGCACTTACACACAAGATTTATATATATATATATATATATATATATATATATATATTATATACACATGCAAACATACATAGAATAAGTTTTAGCATAGAAACTTTTAATATTATAGAAGTTCTGAAAAAACTGTTATGAATTATAGAGTTGATCTGATATTGGTAAGATAAAATTATTTTTTAAATAGTCATATAATGAAAATTTTGAAAGACATTGTTTTTAAGAAGGCGACTTCAACTATCATCATATAAATTATTAAACATTATGCTCTCGTACTTTCATTATTGAAATTACCACAGAGTATTTGTCATTAAATTCATTTTACCAATTATATTATATACCTACTTCACAAAACATTATTTCCAAAGAAGTCGTAACGTTTTTTCATTATATAACTATTTTCATTTAGAGTTTCAGTAATATTTACTGATTATATGATTGGTTTTAGAACTGAAAACCATATGTTTTGTGTTAGAAAATTTAGCTCTAATACAATATTTTGTTTGAATGTTTATTTCCATAATTTGATTACTTTTGCTGAATATGCACATGAGATCAAAAAAGACAAGTGAGGGAATATACACTCATAAAATTTATCTTAGCCAGGTATAGATTTAAACGATTGAATCTCATAAATACTATTCAAAACGTAGCTTTGGAATTTGGAAGACGCGATATTCTAAATCTGAATGTTAATAATTTAATATAGGTACTATTAATATTTATTCAAGTGCAATATTAATGTAATTGGTTCATATACAAATAATTGTTATATATATATATATATATATATATATAAAATTGCTGGGTGATTATTGTGCATATTCCACATGCCACTATATTTCTATCGATATTCAAATATTTTTATGAATCTCATCAATAATAATTTGTTATTAAAAATAAAATAATATAAATAATAACTATGAATCAAATTTGTTGTAGTGATATAATAATAATTTTTATTTATAATCTGAATAATTAAAAAAAATAATGCCACGTTAACAAGCAGTTTAGAAATTTGTTAGTGAAAAGAATATTTTCATCTTGTTAGATTTTCATTATAAATATATAGTTATTAATGTGTGATTTGTACGAATAGTTATTAGCACTAATTTTAAAATCATCTAATACTTTGCACTGACGAAAATTTATAAAAAGATTTTTTAAGTGTAGCGATTATTTTTTTGTATCCACGTATTATATTTATTGAAATATGTTTTTCTTTAGATTAAAGGTTACTGCACGATTCTAGAAAACAATAAAATGTCTATAACGAGCTCAATAATATGTTGCGGGTAAAGAAATCCATCTGATCCATAAATCCTTTACATGATTTTTTCAGCGAGGCCTAAAATTTGACTATAATGACAAATACATATTTGTACGTATTTTTGTATATTTCATGAATGGCCCTTGAATAATAATCTCATCTTTGCATTTCTTATAAAAAAATATGTAATACAACACTTATTAATATTATCTTTGTTGAATATTTTAACCGTTTTGTTACAAGCGTCGCCTAAAGGCGACATCCACCTTGACTTTACTTATTGGGATTAGTGGTTTGCTATTGCAGTATTTAGTTTTAAAGTAATGAAATTTTTATTTTCAAAACAAATTATGGGAAAACCTTAAAATATGATCTATATCAATTACTTTGGCGACTTGCTGGCTTGTTCAGAAAGTTCAAATTAATAAAAGAGAAATCTTTTGATAAATATTTAGCAGTCAATAAAAAAGTGATGGATTTCTTTTACCCCAAACTATTAATAATTAGATAAAAATCATAAAAAAATATTTTAATGCTCAAATTGTAGTACTGTAAAATTGTTGGGGGGCCATTTTATTTTTTTTAATTGACAACGTATTTATTATAATATAATCCATTGATTTTTAGCATGAGTAGGTTTTGGTACTTTAACAAAACAATAGACAAGAATAGAATGTATTTTAAACAGAGTTCAGTATAAAATATAAAAGCTTGAAGAATATAATTTATATTTACAAAAGTACTTCAATTAATATTTACAGGCTGTATAAAAACAGTGAGTATTGAATTGAGTATTGATTCAAGAACTTTTTAATAATTATATATATATTATAATTTTTCTAATATTATTAATTATTTATTAATTTGGTGGTCCGTTATAAATTTCTTCAGTTATTAATAAATCTCGAAACAATTTGATTACCTCATAATGATATTGTATTAATAAATATTTTGATTTTTCAATAAATGCTTCTTTTTACATAAAACCAATCGTTTATTGTTTCATTTTATTATATTTTAGATCTTACGGTACGGTGTACTGCTTTTTCTTTTAATTTATGTGATTATTCATTTCTTTCAGGGTTATTGTTATTTAATAAATTAAATTTACCAAATGCGTAAATATAATAATAATTGTTATTGTTTATAGCATTTTTATATTATACGTTTCCGAATCCAAAAATTTTACAAGCATTTATAGTTTTGGTATGACTTAAAATTACCCACTAAACCAAAATCCGTTATATTTACGGAATTTTTATGTAAAGGTAAATGTTTAGGTCATTTTTACGTAGGATTAATGTAAGAAATATGTAACGATTTCGCATATTTTACGTAATATGGATTACGGAAATATTTTGTAATAATTACCAAATATTTAAAAAAAGACGTGGATGCGCCCTTATATATAGTTATTACTATAGTTAACGACTATTATTATTTAAAATATTCGAATTTCGAACATCAAGTATTTGCCGTTGCTGCATCAATGAAAATAAAAAAATAGCTTTCCAAGCTGCAACGAATTCAAAATATGACCACAATTAAAAGAATACCCTTTAAGTATATCACAAAATTAGACAGAATGCCATTGGGTTGCCTTCTATTATTAAATTGGTAAAAACATAATTTAATTCGAAAAACTTATAGAACACCTAAATTTACGCTTTCTGGAAAAATTTGAGAAATTGGTATTATATGTATGAACGAACTCATATAGACATACTTAACCAAAATAAAACACAAAGACTATTTAGAAATGATTTAAGTAATATTAATTTAAGATCTTTGTATTGATAATAGAACTGAGGTAGTTCTATTATATTTTCTAATAAATCATAATTTATTTAAATTTTCTTTAACGAACTGTAAATTAAGTTAGCTTAAATATATCTTAATCTAATTTTAAATAAAATACATGTAAAGAGGACACGAGTTGTAATTATTCGTTGCCATTTATATGCTTATTATGGCTAATGAAGAAGATAAATCTACGTTTCTACATATTTGGTTTCCAAGTCGCGTAATTAATATCAATAAACTATACAAAATAGACCCAAACGTTTTTAAATACCTTCATTATAAATTTAAGGCAAGTGTTATTTATCTGCATTAATGCATCTGCATGATGCATTATAATGCATCATTTTAATTAATTAAAGTTGTATTAATAAATGAACAAACGTAGGTAAAGTGGCACTTTGTACATGAAGAAAATTGATACAATTTGACTACTTGTAGAAGCTTTCTTAAAATTAAGTTTAGTACCAAGGATATTATGCAAGTTTAACGAGTTCTAATTTTCTAACAGCAACCACAATTAAATGTTTTATATTTTAATAATATTTTTCTTGAGGGGGAAGCCCAATGGTCAACCAGTGTGAACCATATGTATATCAGATAAGCTTATCTAATAATAAGGCGTTTATGTTTTGTAGCCAGATTATAGCCTCGAGTAAATATCTAATATCATACTGTTTGGTATCGAGTTGGCCGGGGTTGCAAGTTTGTGCAAACAGGTTCTTAATTGTTATAACACGACGGGCTCTAATATCAAATGATTTATTTATTATATTTTATAACTTAAGCATGCATTTATATGGCCATTATAATTATAATGGTCATATAAATTATAATAAGAAAAAATTTAACATTCTATTACTTTATTACAGATTTATTGTAAAATATTTATTTTTATCGAGGTATACATTTATATACGTTAAAGCTTATCACATTTGAGACAAATGTATAATTTTATCAGCTTTTTTCACCACAAAAATGACAAGAGTATTCCATTACAGTGACGATTGTTAAAACCTTAATTAGCCCCAATAAATCACGATTATCACAAGCCTGCACATAGGAATGTTCAAACAGTCGATAATTATATATGATAAATTTTTTTAGGGTCCTTATACTGTCTTTAAAAGGTCCTAATAAAATTCTCCAAAAGCTCCTAAAGGATCTGATAGAATATTTGGATATCCGTTTACAGCTCCTCAGAATATAACTGTTTTTTCACTTTTTAGCTTCACTATTTCACGAAGATTTAGCACGAAATGAATAATTTAATGAAACATTGCCTAGTATTTATTTTAGTAGAAACAAATTCGTACAAAATCAGGCCTATTTGCGCTTTTAAAAGCTTCCTGTCTCAATTAATTAATTTATATATATATTCAAAAATTAATGGTAAATAAATTATTTATCAGAGTGAATTATTAATAATTCAATGGTAATTTGGTAATTATCATTGTCGTTGACTTAAAAGTTATTTGTTCTTTAAACTATTTAATAGTCTCATTTTTGGTATTATGTATATTTAATTCATTCTATTAACAATACACAAATAAATCAGTAAAAATATTTGTGTTAACGCAAACATTAAACATTTCCTTTTCATAGCTTAACAAATTATTATTAGTACATATAATTGGTCTGATTTTATTGTAATCAAATAAAATCATAACAAACGAATTGCGTAATAAACTACATTGAAAATTATATTATTACTTATATCAACAAAAATTATTTCATGGAACAATACGTTAAAATAGAGTATTATAAAAATCATACACCACGTCGTATGTTAATTTATTTGAATACTAAATGTAAATTGCTTTTTCTATGGCTATTCTGGCGCATTAATAATAATTATATTACATAACATCATTGTTTTAATTTTTAAAAGTGGATTTAAATCTTCAATTAA